AAGAAGTTGTTGATGCAATTATAGCTGCTCTAGACTAATCAGCACTATACTCAGGAAATAGTTAAGAAATTTTGTTCACTGACCAGAGATCTACTTGGCCTATTTTTCGAGCAGCTGCAGTTTTGTTAGAATCTGCTTTCTATAATTTTGCTGCTACAATTTTTATTAGTACTATCATTGGTTAATAATTCAAATTTGATGCATGATTGCTGGTGCATAAAAAACTTGTAAAGGATCACTTCTTGATCTGTCCATATTATTTAAAGGAATTTTGCTTCGTGGTGATATTTTGGTCCATTTTGGTACATACTTTCTTTGATCTTTCTTATTTTTATTCTTCTTTCTCCGTGGTTAGTGGAAAGCATGTCTTCTTGTTCTTCTTCATCACTCACTTATTGTTTTATTTTTATTTTATTCAGCCATGTGTAGTGGACCTCCTTTTTTATTTCTTGCTCTCGTTCTCACTTCATTCCTTTACCTTTTTTATGAAGAAACAAGAAATATTTGAACTTTTTTTTTTGCTCTGTCAACTCTAATCTGATCTTCACATTGCCAATATATGTCATAGTTCTGAAAGGTTCCAGATGTTACTCTTCAATCTTACTTATGCTACCAATTCGGTTCAAATTAAACACATAAATACTCAGAGGCCTCGCCACTCGTGTCAGGTTTCAATGAATCTTCAATCTGAGTCATTGCGATCAATGCTTGAATGTTAAGCAAACTATATATGTTCCATTGACACCCATAAGTTTGCAGCAAATGTTTTTAGAGGAAGAACTTCTCTCATTGATGGACCTTCTGTGAAGTATACTTGGGAAGAGGCACATGCACATAGGATTTGTGGGATTTTACTGGGTTGTTGTTGTTGTTGTTGTATGTGGTAAGTTTCTTCTAACCATTTACGTTAGAACATAGGATGACTAAAGAATTTGTAGAATTGTAGTTCTCCAGTTGTAGTATAAAGAACGATACGTTTCATCTTCAACCCAACTTCCTTCAAAGAATTTGCAGCTCTGCCGTGGATAAAATGGATGATGCATTTGCATTTGCTTTTTTATGCTTCCACGCAAATGTTTCTTATCTTGTGTAATCTTAATCTTTTAAAGAGAAAAATAGGAACAGAATTGTCTCTTTTGCAACGTCTGTCTTTTGATGTCCCTGAAATTAAGTTGGCAATAAAGATGACAAGTTTTCTGTAACCGTTTTTTATGATTATTGAGATGCAATAATATGATAGTAATTAAAATGATCAATTTTCAGTGAATGGAATGAAGGGAAAAGACAAAAAAAAAAAGGAAAAGATGGTTTCGATCTTGCTTCGTGGTATCCTTTCGATGATTGTTTATTTAATATTAATTCTGTGCTTGAGTTGGAGCGCCAAAAAGATCATAAGTACATTAGAACTTGTAATTGTGCATATTAGAACATGCGCACCGGAAGCAAGCATACAATTCAGACATCAAATACATGTAAATTAGACAATGATATAATTACGAGATTAGAAACCACTAACCTCTTGAAAGCGTTGCACAGGTCCTCCTCAAAGCAAGAATCCAGGGCTGCAGTCTTTCTGCTATGGTTCTAGTAAGACATTGGACGAAATTATTTTGAGTGGGCAAGAACAATACAACTCAAAAAGTGAGTTATTGGGTGAAACATGTCTTCCTTATATAGGCTCGTTTTTCAGCCAAAGAGGGCTCCAAAAACGTGTAGGATTCTGCTTGTGCAATTAGAATCCTACTCTAACTTTACATGATGACTTTTCTCCCAAGTTATTTTTTACCCAAGTTAATCCAGGTTTTTACTAGGTATAGCAGAGACCACAAAAATAGTAAGAGGCTACCAATTATAGCATTAATTCGAAAATTTGGATGAATTAATTCCTACTATAATTAATTAAAGTTTATTCCATTAAAAAACTGCAATTGAACTCCTCAATATGAATTTTGAAAATTCACTAACACTTATTTTAACTCCCCATGTTAAGATCACAAATACCAGTTAATTAAATTAAATCACTGACAATTTAATTTAATCAACTAATTAAATCCTCTATAATTCCGCTTAAACTATTTCATGTGACAGATACAAAATCCACCGGCAGGGTTTTCACATGAAAACTTATAAGCTTACATAAAGTGATATCATCAAACTCAAAACCGGGTCATGAATTCTATCAATTAATTATTATTTCACATAATACTATTATTAAGTTTTATAAAGTGGTTCACGTTTTGAAAGAATAAGTTGTTTTGTGGTGAATGATTTTCAGCTCATGATCTAATTTTAAAGTTGAGCCCAACCTAATTAATGTCCATCATCTTATCAAAAACACTAAGAGCATGTTTGGAAAGTCACTTAGAAATTGGATTTGGGTATAATTGGATGTAATTACACAGTTTAGCATGTTTATTTGGACAAGTAATTACGTGGTCAGCATGTAATTGGGTGTAATTAGAGAGGTGCAATTACACTCTCCAATTCTCAAGGGGAGGTAAAATTGGTGGTAATTACACTGTGCAATTATAAGGTTACTTTTTAAAATTCTTCATTTTTGTTTTTATTTTAATTTATTTTCTTTATAACTTTTTATTTCTATTATTTTTATTTTTATTTTATTTTTAGTTTTTAATTTCTTTTTAATTTTAAAATATATTTCTTGTCCATTATTTATCTTTTATTTCTTCACATTTACTTCTTGTGATTCTATGTAATTGCTCGTGTGTTTTATTTCTTATTTGTTTAATTTCTTTATTTAGCGTAATTGCGTTATTATTCTAGTTTGTGAAACTACATCTCCTAATATTAGAAATAATAATTCATTAACAAATTTGACATATAATGAGTGATATTATTAAAGTAGAATTTCGTTGTTGAATGAGGTTATAAACTTATTATGTTTCCTAATCTTAAGTTGTATTGAAATTTATTTTTATTATGTTGGAATTTGACATATGATTAAGTTTTTTTTTTGGGATTTTGAAATTGTGCTTTATTTATGGTTCCAATTTACTTGTTTTAGTGGTATTGGCTTGTTATTTCACATTGCATATTATTCATTTTTTAGTTAGAATTGATAGATTAGTTTTGTCAAACACTTGCATAATGTTATGACATTATATTTATAAATATTAATTTATTTTATCAAACATACATTCCATGATANATCATTTATACTTATAAAAAAATTATTTATAGGCATATATTTATTATTTTTAACTTGCAAGTTTTGATAATTCTTTTAAAATTTAACCTAACTGTGTAAATTTACTTGTGCAACCAAACAGTACGCTTGTAATTACACTATAATTACGTTGTAACAAACAAACAGGTCGTCGTAATTACTAGGCTGTATAATTACCAGGTTACATAATTATTACCGTAGTAATTACACCAATTCCAATTAACGGGTGACTTTCCAAACAGACCAATGCAAGATTATAGAAGGTAGTATTAGTTTTACTATTCATGAATGTTATGTTTATTAACAATTCGTCAAGTACACAACAAGATAGTAACGTAAGAAATGAAAACAAGCAATATAAGACAGAAGTAATTAAGACGTATGTTATGCCGACCTTGTTGACATAATTTTGATATTTGATAATTGCCACAAAGATTGTTAGTTGTCGAAAAGTCATGGATAAATGATATTAAACAGAGACGGAATTAGAATTTTAAGTTTATGAGTTATGCAATTGACGTCGAATCCATATCATGTTTTAGTTGTTGCCTTATTGCGTTCGTAATTAAGTATTTATATAAATTTAATAAATTTCTTAATACAAAATCATGATCTATGTAAAAACTATTGAGTTTAGACGAACCCATAAATAATACCCTACCTCCGCCACTAATATTACAGGCAGTAGACCTCTATGTATAGTAGCACTTTAATTCGTCATACATCATGATCTATAACTAACAATGCTATTAAGTCGTTCAAAAAACATACTTTAATACTACCAACATTTGGACACATTGTACATTATTTTAAAAAAAAATTGTTTGATTTGGTCATCTTTTATTTGGCTGGCTTATTACGTTCGTGCTGAATAGACAATGTTGTCGCTTCCAAACAACAAATTATAAAACATCATCATAAATTAAATAATTGAGCGAACTTAGGACCCAAATTTACAAATAATAGTTGAATACTAGAATTATATCTCCTTCATCAAGATATGGGATCCCAATTTAAAATGTAATCAGGCAAATCTATTTAATTCTTTTTTAAACATCATCACGAATAAAGCGTATTATCTACTATAATATATTAAAATACACTAGTAATGTGAATATTTTTTTATTTTTACATGTATACTCCCTCTGTCTCGTATTATCTATCGTGTTTTTCTTTTACATGCACATTAAGAAATATTAATTAGGAAAGAGATTATACTATTATATCATAATTTATGTCTTAAGATAATATCTCTCTTCATTGAATATTTATTCTATTTATATATTATCTCCATCTTCAAAAATAATTATTACTAAGGGTAAAAAAGAAAAAGAAAAATTAATTTGTCTAGAACTTCTAAAATAACAAATAATTTAAGACAACTATTTTTAGTAACCACGATTGTTAATATTGTTAATATGAAACGAAGGGAGTATAAGTTAAACTCTTAAAATAATGACACGTGAAAGGAAATCTCTTGCGGTCCGGAGAGGAACAATAACAACAACATACACAGTGTAACCGCACATAAAATGAAATCTCGGAAGGTAGAGGCGGATCCAGGATTTAAATCTAATGGGTTCAATTTTAAGATTTTTAACATTGAACCCATTATATTTTTAAAGTTATGGGTTTATATCTACTATTTTGTAATTTTAATGAATTTTTACATACAAATTTTTACTCCGCGTTGAAAGTTATGGGTTCAGTTAAACCCGTAGCTAGTACGCTACATCCGCCTCCGTCGGAAGGGTACATTATACGCAGATCTTACCTTTATCTAGGAAGAGACTATTTTCAATAGACACTCGACTAAAGAAAAACATAAGCGGGGAGATTACCATAATTGAACTGAACTACACTTATGCATCAAAAGTAAGACGAACTTTATCAGATTTGAGAAAGCTCATTGAATAGATTGGCGTAAAAAAAAGATATGATTTCAACTGCCAAAACAGTCCAAAATCAATGAGAATAAATGCCAAAGATCTTCCCATGAAAGTACAAACTTCCACTGCTACTATTCGTTCAACTCTTATGACACCTAACTTACCATATTTAGCATACCATAAAAAGGCAAATCACTTTGCTAGAAATTTCTCTGGACCGTTTGTACGTACCTCGACTATAAATTTAATTATCGGCTTCTTTATTTGAAGAAGCTTTGCAGAGATTAACAGGATATTTAATGGCATTAAGTTCAACCTTACGAAGAGCAGCTTTGCCAAGATCAATCCCAGAAATATCAGAAAGCCTAACGAGGTATAGCAAAACATCAGAAAGTTCTTCACCAAGATGTAATTTCTCCTTTTCATTCCAATCAGGCAACCCTTTTGGAACTTCTCCTTTCCACTGAAATATTTCTGAGAGTTCTCCAACTTCTCCCACCTGTGTATATAAGTAATTGGATTAATCTAACCAATAAAAAAAGAAACAAGAAACAAGAAAATTAAAGGAAATAAAGGGATCGTTATATCGTCATCATATTACTCTTTTTTCCAAATGTAATGACTGTCTTATTGACAGAAAATATTAGTCGTTTCTTTTTATATGTTAGTTTTTGATTGGGCAATAGTGTTTAATGGCCACTAAGGGGTCGTTTGGTTGGAAAACAAGTTATTTCAGGATTAATTATCCCAAGATTATTTATACCAGGGTTGTTATCCCACCTTCCATGGGGACAAAAATAACACTGCACAATCGAGATAACTAATCCTGAGATTAGTTTTATCGTAATTTTATCTCAATCAAACGTAGAATAAACTCATCTCAAATTTAATATCGAAATTTATTATCCCTTATGCATCATACCAAACAGCCCTAGAAGTATCCTTAGAAGTGTATATCTTAAAGTTTCATGGCTATAAAAATATATCATTAAAAAAATTATAATTAAAAGAGTTATCAAATATATAAAAGTGTCACTTTTTCTTTTTTTGTAAAAGATTAAAAAAGAAAAAAAAATAACACATAAAATGATGCAGACTAAATGTAAAAAATAAGTGACCTACCCGTCCCTCATATATACTTCTATTACTTAATCATAATTTTTGACAAGTGCTTCTCTTATCTTGCTTTGATGCAATAACCAGCTCTTACAAGTTGAAATATTTTCTTGGTTTATAATTTTTTAAGAAGAAAGACAGACTTCCACTTGTAACTCGAAATTAAGCAACTTCTACAGTTCTACACATACAAGCAAATCTTTTTATTTATTGATTAAAGGAAAACAGCAGAAAATGGAAATATTACGATACGGAAAAATTATGGTCGTTGATCAAAGATGTTAAGGATCTTCAAGGGATCACTAGCTGCTTGATTATTCAAGTACATAAATTTAATTTGAGTCTTAGCATACAAATTCACGAGTTGAAATAAAAAGACTACTCCATCCGTCTCATATTACGAGAGTGTTTTTCTTTTACACCCTTAAGAAATATTAATTAGGAAAAGAATTAAACTATTCTACTCTTATTTATGTCTTAAGATATAATCTTTTTTCATTGAATATTTATTCTATTTATGTGTTATATCTATATTCAAGAGCAATTATTACTAAGAGTAAAAAAAAAAAAATCAATTAATTTTGTCTTAAACTTCTAAAATGACAAATAATTTGAGATAACTATTTTTAGTAAACATGACTGTTAATATGAAACGAAAGGAGTAATTTTTTTAATTTCACAAAAAGAAAGAGTTAATAAAACGGTAGATATGACGTTAATAAAATTGGAATGATAGGGAAAAGATTAGCATAACTCTGCAGGGATAAAAAAATACCGAAATGGTTCAAAAAAATATTCATTTAATAAACATGCGTGTGATTATTTAAACACATATTTGGTCATTCATAGCAAATCACAAACGGAGACAAACAAACTATTATTTTTTAAAACGATGATTAGAAAGATTAACATAACCACTGCGCAAGCAAAAATAACACACAAGTGGAGAAATAATTCATTTTTTTTTTCATTAAACAAAAGAAATAAAATAAAAAGGTAGATAACAGGGAAAGTACCAGAGCCAAAAGAAGGTTTCTTGGGCTATGAAACTTTTCCCAGTCTCTTTCTTTAGCAAAATCTTCCATTTTCTTCCTGAGAAGTTCAAGAGTTACACTCTCTTCCACCTTTGAAATCCCTGTCATCTCTCTTTCAAAAACAAAGACAAGACAACTTTGGACTGACACAAATAGGAAATTAGAAGGGAAAGAACAGAAGTGAGAAACCAGAAAAAAACAGGGAGACAAAGAATTGCTTGTGTGTGATTTTGTGTGCTGTTTGGTTCTACTATTTAACGTGAGAGGGAGAGGAGAGAGACCAAAAAACAAAAGGAGTCTTTTCTTGTTAGGCGCACGGGAAACCGGCTATTGCCAGTTTCACACCCAAGTTACCTGTTATTCCTTTGGTTTCATGTTAATTTTTTCAAATAAGTATGACTTAGTTTAATTTAATACGAATTTTAAAAGATTAATTCCATCAAATTTTTATAAGCCAAAGTCATTTTTTCTTGCAATTATCAGGCTTTATAACTCATATTTAAATATTATTTTTCATTAATATATTTTTTTTTGCAAAAAACAATTTATGTTCACTAACCAGAAATCATAGAGAATATTTTTTTTTAAATGACTTTTGTCATATCAAACATGTTCTAATTTATGTACACTATCATTTTATTTTATTTTGATTTTAATAAATCTTAATAGTTACTCAATATACCGAAGGTTATTTTGATCGGTATTCAAAATCTAAATGGGATTATATTAATCTATTTCAGATATCATAATAAAGATATCCAACTGTTACACATAAATATTTATAAATTGAAATATTCCCATAATAAAGATATCCAACAATTACTTGTGAACGTAAAATGTATGCTATGTCACTTCTCACTTCTGTCCTAATTACTTGTAGTAAATGATATTATTATATTAGTATAAATATTTATTGTGAATAATTATTTAATTGAAATTGACAAGTAAACAAGGATCCTCGCCACGATACTTGGGAATACTCGTGTGCATTGGGTCATTGGCGGACCCATGATTTTGTGCAAGCGAGTTCAATCTTATAAGTATATAAATTTAGTGTTAAAATAGTAGTTGTCAAGTGAGTTCAAATAAAATATTTATGCAAAATTTACACAGCTGTAATCCTAATTTATACATATACACAATATTATTTTTTTGTAAATCGGGTTCAATTGAACCCGCTAGCCACCACTTGGGTCCGCCACTGTCATGTTTTATTTTTTATGCTTATTGTCGGTATAATTTTATGGGCGTGATGAGTTACCAATAAGGGTTGTGATGAGTGTTAAATAATTTTTTTTTAATTAGATGTCTCGGTCTCTCCGATTATAAAATCACCTATATTACAGAGTGTTTTATCCTCTAATATGAAACTTTCAAGTACAAATTCGAATTTAGTTGGGGTCCAAAGAAAATATCGGACATCGAATAAAAAAAGGCAGTTTAGTGCACAAGATATGCATTCCGCGTTCCTATAAAGTCCAGGGAAGAATCGCATTTCAAAAAATATGATATAGATAATTTATCCTATTATAAATATTAATGGCTACTTTCATGATTTGTGTAGTATAAGTCAAGTCAAATATGGAGAAAACTTTATTCTAGTTCCTAATAAAAATCCAAAAACTATGGCGTGCGCCAACATAGAGTTAGCTCGAGCCTCGAGACACAAAACTATCTTTTGCTCCCTATTTCGGCGAATCATCTTCGAGTCATACCTCTACTTTTTGACTGTTTTAACTTTTAATTCGTTCTGACTATTGCTACCCACTAAATTCTCCATCGTAAATTAATTTCCTAATTTAATTAGTTCTTGCTTCTTGGAGAGTAGAAAATAAATAAATTAATTAATGACTTACTCTAACAAATATAGGATGGGTTTTAATAATTTTCCATACTTTCAGATGTTAAAGGAATTTTTTTAAAAAAACAAATGAATTACTATCTTAAACAGCCTGAATCTGTCCAGATTGCAAAAATTTATTGCACATAGGTTATTTTTATAAGAAATACTGTATTTTATAGTAGGTGCTTAATTGTATCAAACAATATATAACTGCGTCACACGTTTTCAATATAAACTTTTATGTGTATATCACAATTAAATTGTACATCGTTATCTCAATTCCAATTCATGATAGATGTGAATAAATTTTCTTACACTCATCTCTCATTAAAATTCAAAATTTGACATTCCTTATTTCAACTTTTGTGTAATAAGTAAGCTAAGATTTAAGAAGCTCCACTAACAACCAACTGGAAGATCTTTTATACAATAATAATATATTCAGTATATTCTTACAATATAAAATCTGGAAAAAATAATGTGTGCACAGATTTTATGCCCTATTTATGATAGACCTTCCCTCAAGACCCAAAGATCTTTTATATAAAAATAATATTGTTCTGCCCTTAAAACTAAAGCAAAACTATAGTATTTCTCAAACTTTTCTTAAGTTAATTTTCCTGTATCCACGTGAAAGGATCGAAACGCAATGGTCATTTCGTACATTTATAAAACACAGCAAAAGGTGGAACAAGAACGTTCTCAACTTTGCTCCTTATCTATTATCATGAATAATGCCTTGCAACTTAAGTTGTTATTTACGTGCAATGAGTTAAAAGGTTCAATTTATGTGATACTTTTGTGATTGTTTGTTTAAAAAAATAAATATATATTTTTATATTTGAAAACAATTTAAGATTTTACTTATTTTTATCATTAGTGAAAATATTTTTAAAGTCACACAAATTGAAAGGCACAAAAAAAAATTTATCCTTTAAGCTTTTAAGATTACAAGTTTAAAAAGGTATTTGTTTTTAAAAAAAATTTGTTTAGTGAAACTACATGACATAAATTAAAACGGAGAGAAAAATATTCATGGGAACATATAATGTTATATGTATGGATTCAATTGAGTTAATAAATTCTTAGCATGGATTAAGGAGTGCTTCCCTTAAGTTTTCGTTTCGATATAGATTTTTTTTTTGTTTTAAAAAAAAACTTAAAAATATTATTTGTTCATGAAACTTGATCAGTTTTTGAATTTTTTTTGAACAAACACTTTTAATTTCCAAAAAATTGGTTTGGAGCAGTTTATGTGTGAAATCATTTCTTTCACTCACAATTTTAATTTTCAAAAATTATTTTTTAACATAACTTTAAAAACTATTTTTTTAAATTTTCAATCAAATCTATGTCAAAATGCTAGCTAAAATTATTTGGATTCAACTATCACAATCTTTTGTTGATCCTTTTCTTTCATTTTACTTGATCTTTAAATACGTTAAGACAAAAGAAATAGAAAAGTCATGGTTGGTACGAAACTATAAATTATCCTAAAATTGAACGCAATAAATTCCTCTTACACATAACAACAGTTGAACACTAGAAAATAGAAAGGGGACATTTAAAATCGGGATTCTTGGCCGGTCAGAAGATTCTATGAGAATCGTAACCATTGGATTAGAGACAGAGAGGTCTCTTTTCCGTGAGCCGACAGTACTACTTTACATTGAAAGCGATAAGCGGAAAGATAGAGCGAGAGGCTTTTCTTCACGGAATTTAAACCAGATTCAATGCTCCCCCTATGTTTAACTTTCAAGCCTATCAACAGTCACGTGCAGTTGAGATAGATAAAATTCTCCCCTATTGATTAGAGAGCCGGGTTCAAGCACTAAGAGAGCCGGGTTAGTATTTGAAAGTTAGGTAGGTGAACAAAGTCATATATTCATGGATGAAAAGACTGGAAGACTATGTGTGTGTTTGGTATTACCAAAAACATTCTCATTTTTTATTATTTAGTTGTACAAAATAATTTGAAAAATATTTTTCTAGATATCATATTTTTCTGAAATTGGAGAAAAATAACTTTTTTATAAAAAGTTAGAAAAATATTTTTCAAAAACTACATCTACTCTCACATCTAACCCCAACCGCCTCCTCTTCTCTCGCCTACCCCGCCCCCTCTCCAAAAAGTTTTTTTTTCCAGCTTTCAGTTTTTTTTCTTTTTCGTCACCCCCTACCCTGCAATTTGTTTTTACCTTTTTTTTTTGTAATTTTCAATCTTCTTTTTTTTTCTTTTCGTTTTTCTGCACCCCCAGGCAAATTTGTTTTTTTAAAATATTTTCAGTGTTGGTTTTTTCATTTTTTCGGTTTACAGGTTTAAAATTTTGCGAGTTCCAAAGTTATGAGTTCAGAGGTTAATGTATTTGGAAGTTTGCGGGTTTAGAAATTATAGAGTTTAGGGGTTCAAAAGTTTAGCGGTTCAGAAATTTATCAAATTTATGGGTTAGGAAGGTTATTGGTTCGAAAGTTTATGGCTTCATGTTTATTGTATCTAAATTATTTATGAATAGTCTTGCGAAGTTATTTTTCTTAATTTGCGTACCAAACATCGGAAAATGAGTAAGATTACTACTTGTTTTTCAAGAAAATATTTTTTCTTGGAAAATATTTTCCGTTATACCAAACACACCATATATAAGATATATAGATTTCTTAATGGTGTGATGAGTTTAAGCTTTGGTACTCTAGGCGTGGAGGGGAGCAAGAACGGGGTAGGTATTTTGGTTGATAGGGATCTTCGGGTGCTAGTGGTGGAGGTTAGGACGGTGAACGACATGTTGATGGGCATTAAGCTAGTTGTTGGGGGTTTTACTCTAAATGTGATTAGTGCGTACGTCCCTCAAGTGGGGTTGGATGAGGAGGTCAAAGGGCGTTTCTGGGAGAATTTTGACGAGGTTGTGCGTAGTATTCCGCACACTGAGAAGCTATTCACATGAGGAGATTTCAATGGCCACATTGGAGTGACGTTTGGGGGCTACGATGATGTGCATGGCAATTTCGATTTCGGAGTTAGAAATGAAGGTGGTACGTCCCTGCTAGATTTTGGTAAGGCTTTCGATTTAGTGATTGCTAACTCTAGTTTCCCGAAGAAGGAAGAACACTTGGCCACCTTTCAGAGTTCGGTGGCCAGGACCCAGATTGATTATCTACTCTTAAGGAAGTCTGATAAAGATCTGTGTGCGGACTGTAAGGTCATCCTGAGTGAGAACCTCACGACTCGGCATAGACTTTTGGTCATGGACTTGGAGAACACGAGGAAGTGTAGAAAGATGGTTGTGGTTAGTCTACCTAGGATCAAGTGGGGAGCTTTGACAAATGACAGAGCACATGAGTTAGGAGATAAGTTACTGCTATGAGAGCACGGAAGAGTAGTGGGGACGCGAGTAGTATGTGGACCGCGACTGCAAAT